TATTGCTGAAATCTTAAAAATACCGTCTATCGGGAGATACCGTTATATGGGGGATATACGAAAACTTAAACCTGCATACGATTTCTATACCCTACAACACTATATGTTGGGGGTATTATAAGTGTGATTGGGCCAAAAATTATGTAACACTTCGAAATATTGTTTTCCCACATAGGAAAGTATCTTCCTATAGCGCCAAGCTGAGTCGATCTAGCTATGTATGTCCGTCTGTCCATGTTAATTTGTAATCACTCCACTGGTCGCAATTATGGCTCGATCTTCACAAAATTTAGAATGGAGGTGAGGCTAGAACCAGAATAGAACACTATTGATTCCTGATCACACAATTGAAGCCAAGAAGAGAGTTAAGGACAGGAAAGAATTGTAGCAATTTGGATGACCACTGGATTATATTTAGCTATAAAATAGACAACAACAACTAACAGCACGACGGAGTGTGTAAATATTGGGCAAATGTCTCTGTTCAATCTGGTCAGTGCTCCGTGACATAAATTCAAAAAAGAAATCTTCCAAAATGGATTTGGACATAAATGGACTTCTAACATATTGTAGTGTTGTAGGATATCACATGGTTGCCCCCGTACGACTGCTTACTTGTTTTGTAATAGGCTGTGGTACCCATTACGAAGTTTAAATACGAAATTTGAAATAATTCCGGTAAATAATGTCACTAAAATCTTGAAAAGACCGAATATCGGGAGGAACCGTTATATGGGGGCTATAGGAAGACGTGACCTGCTTACGAAATTTTTTGTCATAGGCTGTAATAACCATTAAGATCATCCAATATGAAATTTGAAACGATTCCGGTGAATAATATTGCTGAAATCATCAAAATATCGAATATCGGGGTGTACCTTTATATGGGGGCTATACGATATCGTGGACCTATATAGACAATTCTCTTCTAGGGGATAAAATACATACAAGGAACTTCTTGTGTGAATTTTCAGATAATTCCACTAAAAAAATTGTCTGTAATCATCAAAATACCGAATATCGGGGGTGACGTTGTATGGGGAATATTCTATATCGTGGACCTATATAGACAATTATCTTTCAGGAGGTAAAGTACTCTTAAAGAACTCCTTGTGTAGAATTTCAGACAATTCCATTGAAAATGTGGCTAAAATCATCAAAATACCGAATATCAGGGTGTACCGTTATATATCGTGGACCTATATGGACAATTCTCTTTCAGGGGGTAAAGTACTCATAAATAACTCCTTGTGTAGAATTTCAAACAATTCCATTGAAAAATGTGGCTAAGATCATCAAAATACCGAATATCGGGAGGAACCGTTATAAGGGGGCTATACGATATCGTGGACCGATATTGCTCATCTTCGAACTTGATCTGCCTGCAAACAAAAACAGATCTTATCTCAATTCGTTTTGATTGTAGCGTGATTACAACAGACGGATCGACGGACAGGGCTAAATCGTCTTAGAATTTTACGCTGATCAAGAATATACATTGTTGGGTTTAAAATTATTATTACGTTGAGTTACAAACGGAATGACGAACTTAATATACCCTCCATACTATGTATGTGTTTTGCCACATTTTTTTCACGGATTCGTCTAAAAATTAGAATTTTTTGGCCATGATGTGTTCTAGCTCCGGTGGCGTAACATTGTATGTATAGGCCCACGTTTTGGTATATAACTGTACCTCCCAATATTTAGTATTTTGATGACTTTTGCCGCATTTTTTCACGGATGTGAGGTTTTATTTTAGAGGTATTTTTCTACGAATTTATTTTATTTTTTTGAATTTTTTCAAATTCCGAACTTAGCTGTTTTTTACTTGTGTTTTTCTTTTTGTATTGCAATAAAAATTTTGATAAATACATTTTGGAATTGTGTTGTTCGTTAGCATTCGTGATACAAACTGACACGCTTGAGGGTTGAATAATTTCGCTATATATCCGATTTGTTGGATGTTAACATCAATGTAAAGGTCAGAAGTAACCTTGTCATGGCTTTGTGATTTCGCCGGTATTTAAAAAATTCGCGGTTTAATGAAAAATTTTGAATTTTGTTAACACAAAAGATATGGTATATTTTACCCGCTAAATATTATCCGATGACCACCCAAATTGGTAGGCTTCTTCCCCGCCCTAAACTCTAGCTACATGCGAAATACCTATAATTGCGACCTGTATAGCTACTGCAAAATCCGACATTTTTTCAGTATTTGGTCCATTTCAACCCCTAAATATTATGCGATCATCTCCAAAAGAAATAGGGTTCTATTCTGACCTAAGCCCCACCTCCATTCTTAATTTCGTGAAGATCGGGCCATAATTGCGACCTGTAGAGTGATTACAAATTAACATGGACAGACGGACAGACGGACGGACGAACATACATAGCTAGATCGACTCAGCTCGGCGAGCTAGGAAGATCCATATATACTTTTCTTATATGGGAAACCAATATTTCGAGGTGTTACATAAATTCTGGCCCAATCAAACTTATAATGCCCCCAACACATAGTGTTGTAGGGTATAATTAGATTTTAAAATTTACAATGTCCAACATAAAAAAGTAACAGCTAAAACCCAGCATAATATTAAATTAGAGTTTAATAAAGAAGACACGTGTGTCGGGGCTTTGAAATTGTAGATCGAAAAGTAACCAAAATAGAGGGGAAAAGGTCCCTGCTCTTCAACACTTTCAAAAGTTTGGGATTAAGATTCGGCGAAATCCGTGTATTTTAGATATATACAGGGATGCCCATATTCGACGGGCCCATGTTTTTTTGGACCCATTCCAATCGACGAGGCTTGTCCGCAGGCAACATTCTTTGCGTCAAGTGAATTTTGTACGGGAACAAATGCAAATCAATGCGAATAATCCGTTGTAAAGTGGACCGAGCCATGCCCAACTGCTGAGAACGGTGTTTTTGGGATGTTCTTGTGGACATCTCAACACTGGCTCGTACGGCAGCGATATTCTCGGCCGATCGCCTTGGTCGACTTTTTTATGGCCTCTTCGGATTAGAAAGAGCCTTACCAGTCGAAAATTTTTCGTATAAACGCTTAATGGTGTTCTTAGAAGGCGCACATCTCACATTTTTTAATGTTTTAAAAGCACGTTGAATTTTCACAATTAACTTCTTCTGTTGAATGTAAATTTCAACTATTTCAGAGCGCGTGTATTGGTTCATGGTAAAAATCTGCTTGGACTGACGCTTCAAACGCGGTATGTCGTTAAGCGATGTGACATCTCTGTCAAAAGTTATGGCGTTGCCAGTTGGGTCCGTCGAATATGGGCAAATATGGTAGTGTCTTAGGCAATATTACACATTTTAATCCTCGAACAAGTCAAGAAGCGGTCCATTTGGTTCGTTTATTTAAATTATGGTGGTTAAATGGGATCGTAACCAGTAAATATATTCTACAAAATTATTTGTCTTAAAATTTTACTATAGGTCCTAGAAGACGTCAAGAGTCTAAATCTTACCTAAACGCCAGGAATGTATATGCATATATTAAAAACATATTTGAGTGAGGTTTTTTTTGCCAAAAATCTCCATCAGAGACGAAATGATTCCCCATCAAATTTTACCATAAGCCACCAAAGAAAATAAATCTCTATTTCCACTGGATATCAAAAAACTTTTAACATCAACGTTGCCAAAAAAAATACAAAAACATTTTCTACTTCTTTATCAATTCGGGCTTTTTTCGAGTCGACGTCTGAAAGTAACATTAAGTTTCGTTTTAGACGCAAGCTATCAAATGAAGAAATAATCTACACAAACTTTCACTATAAATCTCGGAATAAATCATATATCTAATTACAATAGTTTTTATGAGAATTACATTCAAAATATTTTTATTAAAAGTAACAAATAAGGTCATTGCTTCTTTACTGTTAATTTTACGCGTATCCCATTTGATTCCCCTCCCTTTATACTTCATTTTTTGAGGAAATTGTCAATGTAAAAATTATTCTAAATCAATTTTCATTGTGAGTCTCTGAAGAAAAGAAATTTACGTACTTAATAGGGTAAGTGTGCCTAAGTTCGGCATGTCCCAGTAGTCGGCCCATTTTTAATTTTTAAGCCCAAATAAATGAAACTTTTATAACTAAATGTATTTTGTTTACTTCAAATATATTTTCAGCTATCTTTATGTACAATTTCGCTAAGAAAAAAAGATTTATTCTAATAAAAATTAAATTTTTGTCTGTGAAGGTCCTCAACAATCCATATACTTAAGAAGAAAAGTACAATAAAGACGTCGAACCAGTTTAACTAAACAAAAATGTTATATTTTAATGAATTAATATATTTTTATTATTACAAAAAAAATTGGTATGCCGACTGTTGGAACATGCCATACCGACAATTAGCAAGTGGTGTAGACTACTGGCAAAAAAGCATTGTTTTAATAAAACTACAAATTTATGAAATTTAATAAAAAGTTATTAAAACTTTATTTATTATTGCAAAAACTATACAAAATTTCGAATCTGAATAAATTAACTTTGTAATAATTGAAAAGTTCCACTCAGAATGGTGAGCGATTAAAAACGCGAGAATCCTAAAAGTGCCGACTACTGGTACACATACCCTATTTACCGTTAAAAATACCTTTAACTTGGATTCTTGGGAGTAGAACACTTTTTCGCAATAAATTTCAATGCACTATTATTTATATTAAACATCTTTTGTCGGAAAGTTTTTATTCACAAGCAAACCAAAGTACGATTTGTTAGTCAAATCGATTGAAAATATGGCCAAAACCCTTGCACAGTGCATCTGTCCCAAAAATATTAGCGGCAAAAACCTCAACTTTGACTTTATCAAAATTACTTGACTCCAATACCGCAATCCTAATGCATATAAATAAATTAGGACGAGATCCATTGTTGGTACCTTTTCAGTTGATATAACCGTTGCTTATGCGCAGCCTCTTACCTTTTTTGTTCCTCCTGAGTTGAAAAAAACACCAACAACAACAATATTAAATATTTGCATAAATATACATACATACATGTTGAATTTATTTTATTTATAGAATTAACGTGTTTTAGGTTTTTCCTGCGTTTTTTGTTTGCTTTTTACATAGATTTTTTTACATTACATAAATATTGTTTCTTAATTTTAATGCGTTTAGAACTGGATATATCCCATCGTATACCGATAGAAGAAGAAGAAGACTGCTATCGTTTATTGGCTGTTGGACATTATTGTAATCGGTGTGCTGTTGTTATTGGACTTGTTGTGCGCTGTCGGGATTGGCATTGTCGCCCTTTTGAAGTGCGACAACATCGGTTGGCATCATTTCAGTCTGTTTGAGAGGTGTAGCTGCTGCTATGGCTGCCGTAGGAAGTTGAACCAGAGCAGCTGCAGGTGGGGCAACATTGGGTTGTATCGCCTGCATGGCTTGAAGATGATTGAGCTGTTGCTGTTGTTGCAGCAGCAATTGTTGTTGTTGGTGCAGTTGTTGTTGCTGATGTTGATGCTGCTGCTGTTGCAATTGTTGTTGGTGATGTAACTGTTGCTGTTGTTGTTGATGTATGTGTTGCTGTTGTTGCTGATGTTGTTGCAACTGTTGATGGAATTGTTGCTGCTGTTGAATTGGTTGGTGTTGGGGTTGTGGCTGCAACTGCGGCAATTGTTGCATAGGTTGATTGATTAGCGTTAAATCGGTGTTGGTGGTGGTCTGTTGTGGCACAAATTGTTGTTGGTGGTGTATTTGTTGCATTTTTGTTGTTTGCATTTGAATAGCAGTTGCTGTCGCTTGCTGCTGCTGTTGTTGTTGTTGTGATGGTTGCATATTTATTTGTGGATTCAACATTACAGCATATCCCTGCACAGAAGCCGAAACGGCCGTGGTCTGGGTATTGGCACTTATGATTTGTTGTTGCTGGGGTACCGCTTGTACCCCAGGAGCAGCATTGGGAGTATGATTCAAAGATGGAACGAGACCATTACCAAAATTTAAATAACCCTGCTGGTTAATTGTGGTGGGTTGTATGTAAAGATACTGTTGTTGAGCTGTATGTACATCATTGGCCTGCCTTAAAGCCTTTTGGAACTTTTCATACTCCACATAGTGTTTCAAGCGCAGCTCATCTTCTTCGATGAGTTGACGTTGGCGCAGCAACAGCAAACGTTGATGTTGATTCGTTCCCAAACGTAAGTTGCACAATTGACTTACCAGGGAGTCGAGGTTATGTTTTATATCCGATTGGATAACGGTTGGCAATAGATTGGGATGTGTGGCGGCCAGAGACATTGGTTCTTCTTGTTGGGGTATTGCCGGCAAACGAGCTGCTTGATTGGCCTCCACTAATTCATTGCCCATATGGGGTACAACCGCAGTGGAGGCCATTGGACCATTCGTGTATTGATACGAATGCAAAACATTGTTTTGTGTTTGCTGTGGGGGAAGGGGTGCTGTTAAAAAGGGCATGGTCAGTTGTTGTTGCTGAACGGGTTGATGTTGTTGGGCCTGTATAACTTGATTATTAAGGAATTGTTGCTGCTGATGTTGTTGGATTTGCTGTTGTTGTTGCTGCTGCTGTTGCAGTTGTTTATCGACTTGCATATTTTGTACCATCAGCTGCTGTAAAGCAACCTGCTGTTGTTGTTGTGGCGGCTGCTGCTGTGGCTGTTGTTGTGGAACAGTTTGCAAAATTGCTGGTTTTGCTGCTGCAGCCAACATAGGCTGCTGAATTGTGGCCAATGGCAAATTTGTTGGCATCAACATTTGTCCCGTGGCGGCAGCAGCCACGGCTGCCGCATTTTGTATCTGTTGTATGGCTGCGTTCCTTTGGATTTGTTGTTGTATGTGTTGCTGCAATTGTACAGTAACATGGTTGGGTGGTTGGTTGTAGACCACTTGTGCTGGTGCCGGCACCGTCGCCTCTTGCAATGGTAAAACGACCGCTGCCGCAGTTGGTGGTTTTGCCGCAGCAGCCAAAGCCATTTGATGTTGGTAATTCATGGCGGGCAATAAATGTTCAATGGACGCATCATTGGATTTTCGTTTTGGTTTAGGATTTTCAGGGGGCTTTGTTTGTGGTGGTTGTTGTTGTTGTAAAACTGGAGGTGCATCCTGTCGAGGCTGGGTAACTTCTGTTGCTGGGGCGTTTGCTACCTTATTGATGTCTTTATTTTGTTGCTGTTCAATGGATTTCTGTTCCTGGACACGACTAACACAGAACCGTGATACCTTCCGTGAGCCGGGGTCTTTTTCCATGGCCTTCTGAGCAACTGTTGTTACAGGTTCCGTTACGGCTGCCGTGGTAGTTGACGCTGTCGAGGATTGTGTTTGCTGCTGGGCTTCCTCACCAGTTTCAGTATTTCTCAAAGCCGCCAATTTCTTTTCCAAATCGGCAATTGAATTTGGTGTAAGGCCACCAGTTTTTGCATGCGTTGTATTTGAGGTAATAGTTGAATCAACACTACCACAAGCTGGCAATTGTTGCAAAACATTTGTTACACCATTGATATTTGAATTCTTCTGGACAGATGGCTCAGCTGTATTCGGTATTTGTTGAGTCTGTTGGCTTTCCTGTTGTGGCGTTCCATTATCACTATCAGCTTCTATGATATTTGTCAAAACATTCTGCAATTCATTACAGCCACTATTGTCCAGAGATGTACGTCTTGAATTGTAGGTGGAAGAGGTACGTGTTGAGCTTAGCGGAGCCGTTGAGCTATCCTCCTCAGTTTGACTCAGACAAGAGTTTGACTGTTGCTGTTGTTGTATATTCTCATTATTAATGGACGCCACAATGGCCGAGGCAAAAGCTTGGGCATGGGTAATATTTTCCAGTTCAATTTTTAATTGTTCCAACGAGTTGTTGGTATTACCATTTGTTGTTGTCGATGATGTCGTGTTGTTGTTAGACGTTTCTGGGCCATTTTCAGCACCTGCTGTCGTCGTAGCCTGATTATTTGAATTTTCATTATCATTTTGTTCTGGTATTGGTTCTATGTTGTTGGCTGTTGTTGTGCCAGCAGCCACTGTCGGCGGCGGTGTAGCCACCACAGCCACGCTATTATTTGGTAATATCACAGGATTTACATAAAATCTTGATATTTTTCTTACCATTGGTGCGGGATTATTCGAATTTGCGTTGTTGTTGCTGTTATTATTAACACTGTTATTGTTGTTGTTTTCATTTTGGTTACCACCATTATTCGGCTGTTCTCGTGGCGGTGATACCTTTTCCGTAATAATACCATTTTTTATACTTCCTATGCCACTATCATCCTTTCTTCTTTCATGTATATTTTCCACAGTCGTTGTTGGACCATTCTCATTCATATCAAAATATTGACTTGAATTCCTACCCGAGGGATATCCAGCGGAATTCATGGTTATTGTACTATCGGGTGAATAATCCGAAAGTGATGTATATTCTGAGGCTGTACTTGTCTTGCGCGATGAATCCGGGTGATTGTGTTGTGATCGTTTGTGATCATCACACGAGGAGCTTGTTGTGGGTGTCGATGATGTTACTGGTGTAGACGATACATTACTGTGGCCGCTGGTATCGTGACCCTGTTGCATATAGCCGGCATCCATCAAACCATCATCGGATGGAGCTGTGGGATTTGTCATGAGATAATCATGGGAATTGGATTCCATATGATTTGTGATGTATTGTTGTTCCATTTGACCACCGTTGTTGTTGTTACTGTTATTGTTGTTCTCCACACCTGTTATATTTACTTGGGGTATTTGCTGCTGCTGCTGTTGTTGTTGAACATCATTGTTAAGGGAATGACCATTTAAAAGGAATTGATGTTGCTGGTGTTCGCCATGCATCTGCTGTTGGTGTAGTTGTTGTTGTTGTTGCTGCTGTGGTTGTTGGCAAGAATTGGTACCATTTTCATATATGGTTTGGGTAGCATTCATATTGTGTTGTTGCTGCTGTTGGTTGACGTCGTAAGCGTTTTGAATCTGTTGTTGCTGTTGTTGAACATAGTCTTGTATTTGTGTTGGCTGCGGCTGTTGTTCATAAATGATATTTGTTGAGGAACTTTGACCTGGAATCTGTTGCGTTGTTTGCTCCTGCTGAGGCATGTTGTGTTGGTACTCTTGCATTTGCATGGACTGCTGTTGTTGTTGTTGGTCATATGTGGCCATATTTGTTGTAGAATTTGTCGTAGGTGCTGCTTGACAATTGAGGTCCTGGTGTGAATAGGTTTGTTGTTGCTGTGGTTGCATTATTTGTTGGTTTTGCATTGTGTACTGCTGTTGTTGTGTTGGCATAGTATATTGCATAGGATATTGTTGTTGTTGCTGCTGCTGCTGCTGTTGCATTTGGGCATTTTGAGGCTGCACTTGCATCTGATGCTGTTGTTGCTGCTGTTGTACTAAATAATCCTGTTGCGTCGCCTGCTGTTGATTTGATGTCTGACTGTAATGCTGATTGGATGGCTGCTGCAATATGGCATTTAGCGATGAGGCCAATGACATTTGGGCTGGATTTTGTGGCGTATAAAATTGTGGTGGTTGGGATACCAATGTTGTTGGGGACATACCTTGCTGCTGCTGCTGATGTTGCATCTGATCTTCATATTGTACATAGTTTTGTTGTTGATGCTGTCCCTGCTGCTGATTGGTGTCATCCATTTGTAGTTGCATTGTGGGCACGATTAGCTGAAGCGGTTGCTGCTGCTGGTGCTGATGATGATGTCTTCCTGATTTGGTACCATCTTCATCTTCTTCCGACTCGACTTCATCTTCCTCCTCCTCTTCCTCCACATTAGCTGGTAGCATTTCCCGTTGTTTTTGCAAAGCAATCTTTTCCAAACGCGATTTTTCATTCTGCAGTTGAAATTGTGTCTGACGTTGGGCACGTTCCTTAATCAGTGAAAACACTTGAACCTTTAGCAAACGGACAATGGCTCGAGCATCTTCCTCGGTAATGATATTTTCCTGCATCATATCATTGCAGACTTTTTCACAGTCATCGTTTTTAATGTCAAATTCGAATTGTATGGCTTCGTTTTCTTTGTGTTTGGAGGATCGTTTTTTCGGATCCAAAAAACGCAAACGGAACTCAACAACATTGTTGTCGGGATTATTGAGAAAGGCCTCGGTGGATGTGGGTTCAACACGTATCCCAATGTCTTCTTCAAAGAATTCGGAGTTCAACAAATCTTTGCATTTCGGTCGATCCTCTTTTCTCAGTTCTATGCATTTTTCGATAATCTCCCTTACCTTGGGATCTTCCACTTTACTCAAGGCCGCAGGCTTAATGCCGGATATTACTTTCTTATAGATCTGGGCTGGGCCCTTACATTCACTATAAGGATACTCGGATACAGCCATCTCCAACATGCACATGCCAAAGGCATACACATCAACCGATTCATCATAGTGTTCCTCGTACATTTCAGGGGCCATAAATTCAGGTGTGCCTATGACAGATCGGGCATGTGAACGATTTTTCAAAGTGGCCAATCCCAAATCGCCAATTTTTACACTGCCCGTGGTGCCGGTTATGAAAATGTTATCACACTTCAAGTCACGATGTATGATGGGCAGGGGGCGGGTGTGCAGGAAGTGTAAACCCTTAAGAATTTGACGACACCACGATTTCAATACTTTAGGATTTATTTTCTTGAAACGTTTCAAATAGGACTTCAGTGTTCCGGATAACATTAGTTCTGTGACCAATACAATGTTCTTTTTACGCGCCACACCAAATTCCCAATAGGTGTAGAAACGTACAATGTTTGGATGTTGAAGCTTTTTCAACATATCTGCCTCCTCCCGGAAACGTTTCCTCTCACTTTTCTTTACTTGTTTGTCCAACAATTCACACCAGGCCACAGCCACTCCAGTTTCGGTGTCTAAACCTCGATATACTGTCTTGAAACTACCACGTCCAACTTCTTTGTCGTATTTAAAGAAACGACCACATGGCGATACGCCCACAGGCTCGTCATCATCGTCTTGTATAGCTGAAGAAGAGGTGGGCGCAAGGGCGGCCACAACTGGCGCCAAGGATGTGGATATTTTAGGAACTTCAGTGCTAGGTTTTTGTTCATCATTTTGCGATTGCGATTCTGTTGTCAATAAGGCCTGTTCCTCTGCCACAACTGCCGTTTCAACCACATCACTAGGCGTAATAACATCAGATTTTGGCGTTTTACTTTGACCACCTTCAATACTTGTCAATTCAGATGTGCCTTTTGGAACAACGCTGCACTCGGCAACTTGTTTCTCGATTTTTTCCTCTACCTTAAAGCCAACCCGTTTTGCACTTTTATTGCCACCCAATCCCGGAGTTTTTACCTCCTGCTTTTCGCTCGTAAACGATACGTTCGAATGATCGGTTTCGGTGAGCGAAGTTACCTTATGATTTGTTTTGGCAATTGGAGCAGTCTTACTGTTTGTGGGTCGTGCGCAAGTTGTACTTGCCGATAATTGTGTGCTACTTAGATCTGTACCACTTGTGCGTGTCGGTGTGCGAAATTGTTCTTCCAAATGTTCCGTTTCGCGGGATAACATTTCGATATTGTCATCATAGTCACGTGGGAATTCGGTTTCCACTTCCAAATAATTAGTGGGCATATTACGAGCCGGTGTCTCAACTTGTTGCAGTATGAAACGCATATTTGGATTGTATTTCTGCATGGCCATAGAGGTGGAGGACTTTCCCGGTCCTCCTCCTCCCCCCTTTGAGGTCGAGTTGCGCTCATTTGGTTTATTTGGTGTTGAATATGAGCTTGGCGATACAGTGCTACTGTTTTCTGTTGCCGTTGTTGATTTCATTGGTGAAATGTCTTTTGTATCGGGATTGTTTTTATCCGTATTCTGTTGCTTTTGTTGTTTTTGACTACCTTCTGCGTTACCCAGTTTGGCTGCTGTTGTAGAACTAGTGTCCATTCTAATAATTTAAGTTTTAAAATGTTAATAATTTGCTATTAACAATCATATAGTTTTTATGATGCAGAGAAGAAGGGAGGAGAAGGTGGTATGTATGTATGCAATATAAAGTCTAAATATATAGTATATAATATAGATATAGGTGCGCAACGACAAGAAGAGGGGGGAAGATCCAGTACCTTTTCTATGATGCAACTAAATGAGAAGGAGATAGTAAAATAAAAATATATTATTAATCGATTATTGATTGCTGTACAAAATTAGTAAAAATAATAAATAATTGTGCATGGAATTGGTTAGTAGTATAGTTACAAAATGTAATAGCCTCCCAATTGGTTTATTTAGCGATTGCTATGTTTGTTTCTCGCCCTCTTTGGAGGATTCTAGAGTATTTTTATAATCGAAAATAATTGAATTTCTTCCCAGACCGTTCACACGAAGTTCTCTCCAAATGGTTCATGAAATTTGTATTCCATAAAATACATTCTTATACAGGGTGAGATAAAAAACTGCAACAAAGTCAAACGCCATAATTTTTACATTTTCTTTTTTTAATTTTGTTGAATGAATAAGTTTAGATTTGTTCGAATTGGTCACCTTTGCCACGAATTATAGCCTTTAAACGGCCAATGAAACCGTCACGCGCTGTCCCAATGTTGCTCTGCGGTGCAACATTCCCTTCCCGGCGAAGCGCTTGCTTGAGGTGATCGACACTTTGATATTTTTTAGTGCCAACCTTGCTTTCCAAAATACTTCGGACACAATAGTCCAACGGATTGGTATCCGAAGATTTTGGTGGCCATTGTGTGCTGAAAATGAAGCGGGGAACCTCATTTTGTAACCATTCTTGGGTGGCGCGTGCTGAGTGCGATGGTGCTGAGTTCTGTTGGAATGTCCAAGTTCTGAGGCCAAGATGTTTGCGTGCCCAAGGCTGTAATACACCCTACAGAATATTTTCGCGATAACATTGGGTATTTATTCTGATGCCACGGAGAGCTGTTATGGCGGCCCACACCATAATGCTGGACAACGAATGTTTTCTCATCGGAGAAAACCAAATTCCGCAGTTCACCACTTTCGGCCAAGCGAAGCAACTCTTTAGCTCTTTTGAGTCTATTTTGTTTCTGTTGCGGTGTATGTTCTTGCACTTTTTGGAATTTCAATGGCTTTACCTTGAGCTCATTTTTAAATATTTGTCGAATGGAATATTGCGATATGTTCAGCTCACGAGTCATTTTTCGGCCACTGCGACGAGGGTTTTGGTCAAGTCGCTTCTTTACTTTTCGAACCATTTCTGCTGATGTTACTGTTGTCTTCCGCCCACTTCCTTGACTACCAGTATCACGGAACCGAGCGATGGTACGAGACACAAAAGATTTATTCACATTTACATACTAACGATAGCCACTTGTGGTTTTCCAGCCAAATATAAAGAAATCACATTATCACTCTTGAATTCCATCACGAATAACTTTTTTCTGGAAAATTCTCACCAAAATGCTTTTGTACGCTTGTAAACAATATAATCAGCAATACTGGAATAATTTTAACAGCTATCGGACGAGTGGCTTGGAAATGACAGCGATCTAAAGTTGGTTGCAGTTTTTTCATCTCACTCTGTATTTTAAGAGTATTAATTACCATATTAAATTTAACATATTTTCCATTTATTTAATTCTTTCGATACTCTTTAGTTATCACCGACAAGACTCTAATACAACACAACCAATGAAGCAAAACTTTTTCAAACTTGCACTTCAAAGACACCCATAAGTTATTTACTTTTAATTTAATTGCCTTGTACAGAAAAAGTATCTTTGCATATTTTTTTCTTGAGATTACTTTGTACTTAAGATGGAGTTTGTATTTACTTAGACGTATAGATGTGTGTATGCATAACACTAAGCGTATTATTTAATAATTTTTCAAGTTAGAAATACACACTGTCCACTTTTGACAATATAAATTGTTTACAAATACTCTCTTTTATTCTATTATTTTTTTATTAAAATCAACAACCATAATTAAACAAATCTAAAGTGGTTTAATAATGATCCAAAATATCCACATATATAACTCACGCTATGAAAACAGTAGTCCTACTACAACAACAATATTTGAAAACATCAACAAAAGAGATTTTATAATGGACAAAGACAGCTGTTTAGATTTCTTTTACTGATAGCGAGGCTATGTAACGAGAAAAAAAAAATAAAATAAATAAATATAAACATGGAGCCAAATAGTTCTTTTTCTCTCCTATACGACAATATTTGCATTAATTATAGTTATAAATTTGAACGGCATGGGGGAGGGGAGGTTTACAATTTCTCTGCCAGATAAGAAAATTGTCTTCTTTCATAAAATGTAAACAATTTACAAATATGTTTAAATATGTGTACATACATTCACAAATACATACGTAAAAACGAGGATTATTCAATAATTCCTAGCAAGCATACAGTTGAAATAAGAAAAATGCTCGCCAAAATTAAGTTAAGATGGAAATATAAGTGCATATATAACTAGAAGATATTCAGATTCGAATTGAAAGCTGTTAATTTTTTAAGAAAAAGGGCACCAACACTGAACCCTGAAATGGAAATCAAATTGAAACATAGGAACTTTAAACGCTCAGCAGCAATGGGTAGCACATTCCCTTATTTAAGTGTTTGTTAATAAACTTATCATATCGAAATATCTAAATTACAGCTGTTTTGTTTGGTAAATGAGGACCGAATCTTTCAAATACCGATAATCAATAGGCACTGTTATATGGAAACTACACCAATAAGTGGACCTACATTCAATATTTTTGCAAAAAATTAAAACACTCACTGAAAACACCCACCTGAAATGCCATATTAAAGTTGATTAGTTTGGAAAATTAGTCCGAAACCTTCAAAATGCCGAAATTCAGATGGGGTGTATAACACCCCATATGGAAGATCATATTTTTTAATAGAAGTGTTCCTGACTCAATATAAACTATTATAAGAAATTTAAATGATCTACGTCACCCGTCATGAACACAATCGTCGCGGAAATATTTGTTTACGATTTTTTTTGTTAAACTTTACACGTCCACCAATTTGGACCTTTTGATGCTAATCACGTATATACTTATTTGGATGATATGAACATTTATGCTGGAGGATATAATAATTATGTTGAGAAAAAAATAGTTTTGCGCACATTTGGCCTTTTGCAACAACTGTTCTAGATTAGGAATCCTACATAGCAATTTCACCTAAATAAGAAAACAATATCCGTCAACCAGTGAGGAAAGCTCAAAAGTCGGGCGGGGCCGACTATATGATAACCTACACCACTATGTATATTTAGTAGAGATCTCGTAAAGGAAAAGGTTTATTTTGCAATTTCTGAGCTCTATGAGATATCTGGTACAAAATATCATTTTGGTAGAATGCATATTCCGAAAGTTGGAGATTTAAACACCAAATCGGATAAAACATATATATGGGAGAAAATTTGATATTCTTGCTTTTATGCTAAACTCGGTTGAATTGCGAAAATTCACTCCATTTAAGCTAATATTAGCAATTTAGTGCACAATAAACTTGAAATCGGAGAATGATATATATGGGAGCTATATCCAAATCTGAAATGATCTTTATATAATTGAAAACAGCTATTTCTTGGCTGTATCTGATATCTGGTACCAAATATTATTCTTGTATCGTGAATTTTACGAATTTGAGGGACTAAAACACCAAATCGGATGAAACATATATATGGGAGCTATAGCTATATCTGAACCGATTTTCATCAAGTTTAAAGTACTTATTTCTATAATAAATTCGGTCGGAAGTGCCAAAATTCACACCATTTGAGCTGATATTAGCCATTTGGTGCAAAAGAAACCTAAAATTCGATGAAATATATATGGGAGCTAAAGCAATATCTGAACCGATTTTCACCAAATTTGAAGTACATGCTTGTAGGCTGAATTCGGTAGGAAATGCCAAAATGCAGTCCATTTGGACTGATATTAGCCATTTGGGCCACAATAAACCTGAAATGGGTCGTAGATATATTTGGAGCTATATCTAAATTTGGAGCAATTTTCACCAATTTCAATAGAGTTTGTCCTTGACCCATACAAATGTTAGTTGGAAAATTTCATTTCAATCGAATAAAAATGCGATCTGCATTTTGTTTACAAAAATACATGAACAGACGGACAGACAGATATACGGACGGCGGACATGCATAAATCGACTTAAAATGTGATTCGTTTCCTTCTCCATGTTACAAACAAATACACCACTATGTGGTGTAGGGTATTAAAATGTGGCAAAAACCCCCAGCACGGCTGAGTAAAATTGTATCGAAACTTTCGGAGTAACGAACTGCGGAATGTACTGACAGTTTTTCCCGAGCGGATGGTACATATTAAGAACGTAATACATATATTAACTTCCGTTGAAAATTATGGCTAACATAATTTAAATATCGGGAGGTACCGTTACATGAAGCTATACAAAAACGTGGACCAATATACACAATTTTCCTTCATAGAAGCGAACACCAATCACGAATAAAAACTAGGAGCTACCGTCATATTGCACTATACGAAAACGTGGAGCTATATAGAGAATTTTTTGCCATGGGAACCTATTGCCAAAACCAAACTACAACAATGAGGATAAAATAAAAAAAGGAATAATAGAAGGTATCGTTATTTTAGGGGACTATACGAAAAAATCAACTCAAACAATTTGAATTTATCTAAAACAAATTTATTCATAAGCTACCCCAGACTGTGGCTGTTATTCCCTTGTAACATATAATGGGTGTTATTTCCTTGTAACATATAATACGTAGCGAGATAGACATATATTTCCCTTTGATGATCCTCTTAGAATCTAATTGTGAGTCGAATTGATAACTCATCAAAATTATGTAGAGTTCGGCTAAGAATTGAATATTGCTCCCATATATAGCCTCGTCGGATTTCAAGTTCAATTCAAATTTAGCCTGGATGGAAGTACGTAAATTTTTTTGAAAATCGGTTCAAATATATCTTTATCTCTGATACATAAGTTTCACTCTATTTTATTTCAGGCCTTCTCAAAGTTATGTAGCAATGACAATATAGTTCGCATGCAACATAAAAACATCTGCATCACATTTAGTGGACATCTATTAAGATTGATCTATAGTTTTCATATGTGTTGGTTCCATCCGATACCAAATTTGGAGCTGTAACACTCAATATTTGGTATGATTGCTTTACATAAATCATCAATATAAAGGTTTAATTTCACGCGTAGTAGGATATCATAGAGTCAAGATATTACCATTCGTAACTGCACGGAATGGTTCCTTATATGTTCTTTGTCAGAGAAAAATCGAGATGATTTTGTCATCTTTATTTATTTATAGTAGCGATTTTACCCAACAAAAACTGACATATGGTGCTTTGAATGTGGTATAAAAGTGACTCTTTACACTCTGATGGTATTATGTTAAAGCCTTTATATGACGGTAAATTTTTTTTTATCGAATTTTCAATTCTACGTTCTGAGGTTTTAATAAGTTATTTAAGATCCACGCTTTAGTATATCTCTCATGCAACGATGTTGTCCTATTTATTCACATTTATCTCTGTGTTGGCAGCTACTGTTTAATTGGAACTGTTTGTAATAAGATCTTCCTTTTTGTAAACTTCTAATATTCCTTAAATGTGATTCTCCGCAAACAGAATTTATAGATCTATAATTCATGTTGTCTTCCTCAGAAATACAAAATTTTTCTTTTTTCTTTGTTTGCTCTTACACGACTAGGACCTAATAAACAAGATTGGAAACAAGCTTAAGTGAACATCAATGTAATTTATATGCGTACATATTACTCACAAACAATTTCCATTCATCTATCACATATAATTACTTTATGGGTACTTCCTTTTTATTTCTATATAGTTTTATTTCGAGTCCAATCACCTTTCGATATGATTAATAATAACTTCTATATGTATTCTCCTCGTCACTACACTTTCATTGATATTGAGTGTGGGTATGGTACTATTATTATTTGTCTGTTACAATATCACATTGGCCTGCAGACAAATGCAAAATAGGAATTTGTTATAACACATTCACTAAACGATCTTATATTTTTAAATTTGTCTTCACAGATAAGCACAAATATCCACTGTCAACGAATCTTTTTGATGTTAATTTTTTTTTCCAAACTTTTATAACAACCGTTGCATGTTTATGAAATGAAAACGCTTCTATGGCTAATTTTGGCACATACTCAGCCGGACGGGCGGGCGAACACAGATCTCCTTCACAATTCAGTGGTAAATGCAGAAATGAACATCAATGTTTACATCTTGATCTCGAGATGAGAAGAAATAATCAAAATAAACTATTTATTTACTCATTATACATACCACCACCACTAGCACCACTACCAAGCGATACCGTCACCATCCAAGTAAAATGTGTTGTCCACTTTTATTTGTACGTGCAAACACTAGTTAAACGTCCAACAACTAAATACAAAATGCTTTTTTAAAGACGAAAGACACATCACATAATACATTATTGAATGAATGAACCGAACAACGCCTCAACAATGATGATCAATTGAAGTGTGCGGAGAGTGGGCAAAGAGTTAATATTTTCCCCCTGCGATATGTGCATACATGCAAGCATACATATAAACAATATCTATACACATCGCTAAACGATGTGAACGACGGAGGGGGAATAGTAGTATCTAGCAAATTTGTATATGGAGCTGTGGATGGATGGATGATAATAAAAATCTGCTGCTGCCGCGGTTAGTTGCCTTCGTAATGCCACCAAAAACAACAAATTAATGTAACAGGCACAGTGCAAAGTTCGAACTTTTATTATAAATATAGAAATGCCAATGCATCTACACGAATGATCCTAATAGGTCCTAGAGTTAGTAGTGTAGAAATCGGGCGGCAACAGTTGTGTTATTGTTTTCTTTTTCCACCAGCCATTATTATTACTTGTTACTTGTGCCTCTAGCAATGACGTGACGTACGGTGATTTTGTTTTTGCTTTTTGTTTGCATATTTTGTCTATCCCATCTACCATATATGTATGTGTGCTGTGGTTCTTTTATTATTATTTTCTTTTTTTTTCAATTATTATTGTTTTGTCTATATTAATTCAACAGCGTATGTTACTTTTTATATGGAACTTGTTGGTTCCTGCTTTTGGCGCAGCCCATTATATTCTCGTTTACTGCATAATCACCAACATTCACGATTCCGCACTTGCACGAAAAAATGTCGCCCTCGATGTCGTATACGTTGCTAATATAATAAAATAATTTAACTATGTATTTTTGTCGTTTTATTAATAATATAATCGTAAACTTATTCCTTTATCTTTATTTTCGTGTTGTTCCGGAACGAACTAGTCCAATAGAGTTCATTGGAAGGAATTATGCGAACAAGTTCCGTTGTTGATGTCAGCTGACACATTTTTCAAATAAAATCAGCTGATCACAAAAAAAAACAATCAAATTGATTTCTGTGATTTCTGTACAAAATTACGGTACTGTGAAGTTAGACTTCATAGAACATATTCCACAAAAGTTTTAATTACACATTTATTAAAGCAAATTTAAAATCCATTGAACCCATGGTACAACTATGGTAGAATTAAGAAGGTAAAGTAATGCAATCGTATGTTTACAATTTTTTCAAAATTATTCATTGTCAACAAGTTTATTTATAAATCCATTACATACACAAATCAGAGATGGGAACCTGGTTTCTATGCAGTGATATTTGACAAGGTAAATCACAAAAAATGGAAGGATGGGAATTCTTATTTGAAATGACTTTATTGATATTTGACAAGGTAAATCACAAAAAATGCAAGGATGGGAATTCTTATTTGAAATGACTTTACCTTCTTAATTTTACAACTGGTACAATGATTTTTTGCATTTTTTGTAATTTTCCATGTCAAATTTCAATGCATAGCAGTTCCCATCTCTGATTTTGTGTACATACAATGGAATTATGAATATAGATAATTTTAGATAAATTTTAAAAAAATTGCAAACATATTACTACATTGCTTTACCTCTTTTGTTTTACCACTATTGAACCATTGTTACAATAAAATCATATGATTTTAATTTTTTTTTATTTTCTTGGTTTAATATGCCCACTTTGGTATGTTCCATAATTGCAAAAATGTAAAATTTTTTACACCGATAACCGATTTTCCATTTATGATGTCAAAAAAAAAAAAAAAAATTTAATAGCAGATTTTTTCAGGTTCTTCCAGGCATCTATGTATGTAACATGGTAGAAAAATACAGGTAGATGAATCAACACTTGGGAATATTGATATGTCAAAAATGTTAAAATATTTTTTTAAAAATAAGTAAATTGCATTATCGTTGAGTTTTCAGTTAATTCAATGTAAATGTTGGAGACCGTTATAGTATGTTTATATTATTGAATTTATTATTTATATAATTGTTTTTTGTTTTTTGTTTTACAATCTCGTCCCTTGGGTAAAAAATGTTTTTTTTTGTCATAGAAGTTGTTTTTTAAAATAACTTCTGGGGAGAATATCCCAGACAAAAAACAAGGGAACTGATGAGGATTGGTGGCTCTTTCCGAAACCTAGGTATTCCCTGCCTTACCCCCTGGTAAACATTACCATCGTTCTCCATTAATAAACAAACGTTGTTTTTATAAAAACAGCAATAAAGGGATAAGCCTGACCATTTTGCAACAACAAAATACTACGGTATCCCGAACAAACAAGCCACACTGTTTTTTGTTTTTATATAATAGAATTGACAAATAAAACCCACTGGGTTTACAAAATCTAGTAAAATTATATAATTTCGGGGAAGAAAATAATTAATCCTTTAAGGTGAGTATCAGGATATCAGTGCTGCTCTGACATCCCTTTATGATATGTCACAATATATGCCATGCGAAGACTTCAAGTTGATTATGTACCCACACCTTTACTGCTTTTAAGAACTCAAGAAGCAATTAAATCCAATTCCAATTATTGTGTTTCAAAATTGAGTAGAGCGAAACAAAAACCTATAAACCAGCTGATTTGACTCTAGTATGTTTATATTATTGAATTTATTATTTATATAATTGTTTTTTGTTTTTTGTTTTACAATCTCGTCCCTTGGGTAAAAAATGTTTTTTTTGTCATAGAAGTTGTTTTTTAAAATAACTTCTGGGGAGAATATCCCAGACAAAAAACAAGGGAACTGATGAGGATTGGTGGCTCTTTCCGAAACCTAGGTATTCCCTGCCTTACCCCCTGGTAAACATTACCATCGTTCTCCATTAATAAACAAACGTTGTTTTTATAAAAACAGCAATAAAGGGATAAGCCTGACCATTTTGCAACAACAAAATACTACGGTATCCCGAACAAACAAGCCACACTGTTTTTTGTTTTTATATAATAGAATTGACAAATAAAACCCACTGGGTTTACAAAATCTAGTAAAATTATATAATTTCGGGGAAGAAAATAATTAATCCTTTAAGGTGAGTATCAGGATATCAGTGCTGCTCTGACATCCCTTTATGATATGTCACAATATATGCCATGCGAAGACTTCAAGTTGATTATGTACCCACACCTTTACTGCTTTTAAGAACTCAAGAAGCAATTAAATCCAATTCCAATTATTGTGTTTCAAAATTGAGTAGAGCGAAACAAAAACCTATAAACCAGCTGATTTGACTCTATAGTAATACTATATTTCATCATATACAATAAGTATTCCCTTTTTTGGTATAAAATTTCACTGCAGGGCAATGTGAACATATTTTTTGTCTAATAATAAAAAATCGCCGTTGTACTTAAGAAAACGCCAAAGGCGATGGTTCGGAAACTTTTTTTTACGTTTAAGGAACAGCGACACCACTATAGATAATATATTTGTATATTTCATGTTTCCTAAAATTGGAAAATATAGAATACTTTATGTATGTATGCTGTTTGGATTCAACTTGAAAGGGGTGTTGCCTTTTCCACGATTTTCTAGCGATTGCTTGAAGTGTTGAGAGATTAGGACCAATAGCTAACAACTATACATTCAGGGGAATGATGTGAAATCATTAAAATTAAATATTTTAAGAACTATTCCTCTGCGTTTTTAATTTAATAATCCAAATTCCAAAAATGAACTTTTTTGAAATTAAATCAATTTATTGAAAATTAATTATTTTATTTACATTTTTGGACACAAAACCCTGACACTTGTATTACGTACAATAACAAATTTGTATGTGGTTGTTGTTACGATTGTTGTACAACAACACTTGCTGTTAACTGTATTATTCTACCATGGCACTTGCAGTTAATTCCTCTCAGGATGTCGCAAAAATGGCTTTAATCATTAACTATTGTGTCAGACAGTGGACCACTAGATTTATGATATGTGAATGTTCTTTAGCCAGCAAATGCTTTTTCAGCTAATTTTGTTAATTTTACAAAATTACTAGAAAAAGCTTCTGAAAGCAAGGGATGCTAGAGCCGAACTCATATCCTGTCATTGTTTCCCCTTATAGTTTGACCCATGGTACAATGATATCAAGGTAGGGCTATGATACCATATGATTTTAATTTTTTTTTTTATTTTCTTGGCTTAATATGTCAACTTTATATGTTTATGTATGTGTTTTCTTTTCAATAACAAAAAAATTGTTCAGAAAACATTCAAATTCGGGTGCTTTCAAAATGTTTATTTCAACGTATGCATCGACAAAATCAAGAGTTTTTGTAGCGAAATAATCCTTTAGAGATCTATAGTACATGATTTTGAAAAGAAGTGTTGACCTTTCATTCAGTTATCGCGGTTTTCAATTTTTTATTCAAAATAAATGCAACAAGTTGTTTGATTTTTTATTGTTTTGATACCAATTTTGACATTACAAGCCAAACAGGTAGACCTCAATACTTGCAATTTTTTTCAAAGTTGACCTACCTTCTCTTCATTGTACCATGGTTTGACCCTCACCTCAAATGATTTAATATATAAATGGGATTTTCTTTTTTCTTCTCACCTTTACCAAAAGGGATGCTAGAGCCAAACTCATATCCTGTCATTGTTTCCCCTTATAGTTTGACCCTCTCCTCAAATGATTTAATATATAAGAGGATTTTCTTTTTTCTTCTCACCTTCACCAGAATATCGTAAAGAAAAATGTCTCAGTCTGAACTTAGTTTAACCAAAAGTCGATCTACAGATACCTAACAGTGGTCTTTTACAACTTCTAGAAACCTATTGCATGTTGCTGTCTTGTTTTGATTCCAGATCTTTATCGATTGTTCTCTCTTTCTCCTCTTTCTAGTGTACGGCGTCAGTTGCAACAAATCTGACTTTGGATTCATCGTGCTTTCATTTGTTTTACTTAACACCGAACGGAGCAGATGGCTTTGCAATATTTACATAAATTCTCTTTAACAACGAGAAGAATACAAAGCAAGACAATCCGGATAGTATCATCATCACAGAGTCATGAATATTCAACAAGTAATAATGAACATTTTAACGGTCACCGGGAAAGAGAACACCAGCAAAAATCATCATTTTGGTCATGGAACAGTTCACTGCTGACGACAGCCGGTTGTGCTGCCATTGCTCTGGGAGGTTTAGCTTACATTAACAACGAACAAAAGTTGTGGCCCGCAGTGGAGGCCAAGACGTTACCCAATTTAAGTGGCAGACGTAAGCAGTTCAATTTTATTGCCGACGTGGTGGATGTTTGTGCCGAATCCGTTGTATACATTGAGATAAAAGATACACGACATTTCGATTACTTCACGGGGAAGCCGGTAACAGCTTCTAATGGCTCAGGTTTCATTATTGAGTCGGATGGAACTATTCTCACCAATGCTCATGTGGTAATCAATAAACCCCATACCATGGTTCAGGTTCGTTTGCATGATGGACGTGTTTTCCCCGCCGTAGTGGAAGATGTTGATCAGACCTCCGATTTGGCAATCATACGCATCAATTGCAAAAATTTGCCTGTTATGAAATTGGGAGAGAGCTCCAGTTTACGTTCCGGTGAATGGGTTGTTGCCCTCGGTAGTCCGCTTGCTTTAAGTAATACAGTAACTGCCGGTGTAATAAGTTCCACGCAGCGTCCTTCCCAAGAATTGGGTTTAGGAAATCGGGATATAAATTATTTGCAAACTGATGCGGCCATTACATTCGGCAATAGTGGTGGTCCCCTGGTGAATTTGGATGGCGAAGCGATAGGTGTTAATTCGATGAAAGTGACAGCAGGCATCAGTTTCGCCATACCCATTGACTATGTTAAACTGTTCTTGGCCAAAGTGGCCGAACGGAGGAAAAAAGGCTCGGGTGGTAAACAAACATATCCTGCCAAACGTTACATGGGCATTACAATGCTAACGTTGACCTATGATATTCTTAATGAGTTGAAGTCAAGATCTGATAGCGTACCATCGAATCTAACACATGGAGTTTTGGTATGGAAAGTTATTTTGGGATCTCCAGCTCATATGTAAGTTGAATTGATGCTTTTTTTTTGTTATTTAATTGGTCCTTGATTTATGTTATTGGTGTTCTGTTTTCAGTGGTGGTTTGAATCCCGGCGACATTGTAACGCACATCAATGGCAAGGAAATCAAAACCTCCTCTGATGTCTATGAAGTATTGGCTGACAATTCAAAAACATTGGACCTAACCATCTTTAGAGGACTTAAGCGTATGACTGTGTCAATTTCACCAGAAGACCCTTAGGATTAAAGAAAGTATTTTTCTTACCTATATTGACTGCCACATTTTTGAAGTTCTATTTATATTTCACATTTGACATAATGTTGCTTGTTTTTTTTAGTTATGTGTATATAAATATGTAAATGTTTATAAAATTTGATTTAAATTTTCGTTATGCTTTATTTAAATGCAGCAAATTGCATTTGTGAAAGCAGTATCATTACAAATATCAAACGCCTTAAAATATGCAATATTTAGTAAATTTTACTTCAAAGAAAAAATACAGGGTGTTAAAACATACAGCAATGAATATGATATAGAGTGGATACATTTGGGTCCCACATGTAAGAGCATAGAAGGTTCCTTTTGTACAAAAGACCGTGCGTAGAAGACCCATGCAAAGCCTTCTGACTATAAAAATAATATACAAAAATATATATCGTCGTCTATGCACAAAATACGTGGACTGGTTGCGTATATATCGTGGATTTGTTTAGAATACTTTGTAATAGGATTTCCTACAAAAAAAAGTGGAATTTTTAGTATATTTTTTAAAGGACCTACTATATAAAAATTGTGGATTTAAATAAAATGTTCTTATAGACCTCCGGGCTATGTCTAAATCATGGATTTTTAAAAATATTTTTAAGGACCTCCCATATAACAGTAATAGCAGATTTGACAACAGTTTCCACTCCAAGTGACGGAAAGTTTATTGATTAAAAACTGAATTGTTTAATGTGAATCAGGGTTTTTTAATGGACTTCGTATGACTGAATCCCCCCAATTACACTGTGCGACAAAATTATTTTTTTTTCAATAATTCTTGAAAACCCCTTTTGATTACTTTGTGCAACACAAAAAAAAAAAATACGGGGGAAATTCAACAGGTTATGAAAGTAGAGCTAAACAAGTAAAAAAGCTGTAAGGCCAGGCCGAACTTTAAATATTATTAAATTCCTCGACCATTTAGAACGAATTTGGCAATTTTCAAAAAAAAAAAATCCGTTAAAAATTCTGTTAAAATCTTTAGAATACCAAATGTAGGACGACATAGACCTGCACTGGCAACTTTTGTCATAAGCCATTACAATATTCAAATGTGAAACTTGAAAAAAAAGAAATTCGGTACATGATAATTACATGGGGGCTATACCAAAATGTGGACCTGCACAGACAGTTTTCGGCCTCTGGCTGCAGTATCCATTACGAACTTCAAATATCAAATTTAAACAATTCCGATGAATAATGTAGCTAAAATCATCAAAATAATGAATATAGGGAGGTACCATTAAATGGGGGCTATAGGAAGACGTGGACCTGCACTCAAAAATACAAGGAATATATAGGTGAAAAAAACTACAAAATACGAATTTTCAGTCAAATCGATTGGAAATTATGACCAAGGCCCATGCAATAACTACACTCAGGGGGTATCATTATATAACTGCTGTACCAAAAGGTGGACCCATATTGATAAGTCTTTGCAAAAAGCCTTTCTGCATAATAAGAAATCAAAATGCCAATATTTGGCAAAATTAAATGGAAAACATGGCCAAAACGTGAAATCTTGAAATCGGAGTTATTTTCACAAAGGGAATATTTCAAAAAGAGGGCCGACATGACCCATTTTCTGTACCAATAATTCTGGATGTAATTCAAAGATCCTTATCAAATTTCTTAGCCCTATCTTAAATGTGACAAAATAAAGCTCATACTATAGGGGTCCCTTTGTATATGGTCAAAACTATATAAGAGCCTTAACACATTTTACCTACGAACCCAGAACTTCTTTGGGTTTTCGATTTAAAAACGAGTACGGTTAAGTTTACATGGCATTTTTCACAATCCAACCTGACTATTGTATAATGAAATTATAAGAAAATTTGCAGCGAATTTGGAGACAAGTGCAAGGTTTTTTTTTTCAAACAAAAATGTATCCTAATTTTAAATGTATATATTGAATATTGAAAATGAAATTTGATCTAGAATAATTCTTACTTTGACACTTTTCCCAAAAAAATGAAGTATAAAGGTAGATTTTTGACTCGCATTGAATAAGTGTTTCATTTCACAAGAAATTTAAAATTACTCAAAAAATTAAGGGAATATATTCAGATTTTTTTTTGGGAACATTGATTCAGAAAAATTTTTGGCACACAATGGAAATAGTGATTTCTTTTATTTAATGATTTATATTGAAATTTGGTGAAGATTATTTTTGTCTTTAATATCATCCATCTAAAATGATGCTTTGTTAGAGATTTGCATATAATGACATAAAGCTTTAACCCTAAAATGTGTTTTTAATATTTATACATTCCTGGCGTTTGGGTAGGATTTATAGTTTTGATGTATTCTGGGACGATAGTAAAATTTTATAACAAATAATTTTTTTGCCCATATTTAAAAAAAAGGCCAAAAAGATCCCTTGGTCGACTCGCTTGAGGGTTAAGATTTTCTACCAAAATATTCTCCTTTTTATACCCTCCACCATAGTATGGAGGGTATATTAAGTTTGTCATTTCGTTTGTAACACCTCGAAATATGCATTTTAGACCACACAAAGTATATATATTCTTAATCAGCATAAAATTCTATGTCGATTTAGCGATGTCCGTAAGTCTGTACGTCTGTGAAATTCACTCTATCACAGGTTGATAAAATTTTACTCAAATGTGTATTATGTCTGCAGGACTTTTGATATTGAAAATGGACCATTTTTTGGTACTTCAATGTTTCAAATTTGGTGTTTGAAGTTCGTAAGGGATGCTGCAGCCTATGACAGAAAATTGTCTGTACAAGTCCATGTCTTCATATATCCCCCATATAACGGTA